TTGCCCCCAAATAAATTTGGTTATGAGTTTTAATAAAGATGAGTTTTGTCAGTTTTGAATGACTATTCAGAGAGCTGTTTTTATCTCTACTTGCCAGAAATTATTGTCTGGAAAAAAGTCAAAAAGTAATTCTGAAGAAGGAACACCCTACCTACTAATGCTTTGAAAAACATGTCTTCATTTAATCAGGGAGTGTAGCACAGAGATGTAGACCTTTTCTTGGTAAGCAGGTGTCTCTGGACCTGTCCAACAATAGTCATTTGTTTGAAAAGAAACATTTTGGTGCCAGTCTAGTAATAAATTCTTTCTTAAATTTGGCTTGGGTCAGAATATACATCAAATGTAAGAGCAATGATATATGAAGACCAATGAGAGGATGTTCAAAAAGTAAAAATAATCTATGCAGAAAAAAATATAAATTTTATTTTTTGATTATTACTGCTTGAGAGGCAACCCATTTAGGCTAGTTAACATAAAATCAAAGGTGACAGATGACAATTGTTAAAATATATTTTAGAAAACAAGAGCATTTTCTCTATATTTAAATAGTTATTGAAAGAAGTACATAAAGATAACCATTTCCCCCATAGTTGCATAGGCTTAAAAATATTTTCATATTAAGGCATAGAGGTGTAATATCAGAGGTAGCCATTTTTCTTCCCAATAATTCCCTAACATTATGCCAAGATCTGGAAGTGAATCTGTTTGGCTATGGCTATGTTCTGGAGCACAGCACTGAGGTCTTATTCTTGGTCACTGAGCCACGAACAATAAAGGGTTCATGGTTCAGAGAGAAACTGGAACCAGTTATTTAGAACAAGTATAACTATCTCCCAGAATGCACTTTATAACAAACTGCTAACCAAGGGAAAAAACATATTAGGATAGAGATAGCACTTCCTGAGTGGTATAATACAAGGCACATAATATCCTCCAATACTGTCACATAGCTTCAATCTTAGGAAAGTAATACATACAGGCAATTCGCCCAGGCAGGAGTACAGTGGCGTGATCTTGGCTCACTGCAACCTCTGCCTCCTTGGTACAAGTGATTCTCCTGCCTCAGCCTCCCGAGTAGCTGGGACTACAGGCGCGCCACCACGTCCAGCTAATTTTTTGTATCTTTAATAGAGATGGGGTTTCACCATATTGGCCAGGATGGTCTTGATCTCCTGACCTCGTGATTCTCCCGCCTCGGCCTCCCAAAGTGCTGGGATTATAGTCGTGAGCCACTGCACCCCGCTCATAAAATGCTTTCAAGTAGAGCTCCTGCTTGAAATTAACAGCTAACATTAACTTATAATTCGATATGTCAATTTGTACATGTGCTGAAATTCATAAAGATAGTTATGAATTATTTCATTCATTGAATATAATCCTTAAACCCTTAACTCTCAACCTGGTTAATAAATCCTTTTTACATGGACAATGCAGAGGTAAACAATAACTAAGGTAAAATTACCACAATTCCATAATGCTGGAACCTAAATTAATAAGACTGTCTAACATAAAGGGCAGAGAATGGAAGGCTAATATTTACTTAGTTTCTTTGATGTGCTAGATAATAATCTACAGTATTTCATTGAATTTTTAAGGCATCGTTTTGAATAGAAATTAATATCTCACTTGAGAGGTGAGTAGCCTGCAGCTTCTAGGAGATTAATATACCTACCAGGACCTCTTAGGTAACTGGCAGAGCTAAGATTAGGCTCACATCAGAGTGCCCAAACCCATGCCTCTTTCTGCTACACCTTGCTTTTTCTCTAGTTCTCTGTAGACTGTATTTTTACAGTATTTGATATCTAAAAACCATACCTTTTAGAAAATCATCTCAGAAACTACAGAACACGTCTAATGCGTATCAGTAATCTGCTACATTTAATATCCTGCCAAAGACCAAAAAGGCTTTTCTAAGCTCATAAGCTGACCAAGTCATTTACTATTATGACCAACAGTGTCTGCTAAAATATTAACGTATTGACAATGGGGAGGTCTCAGCCCTTGGCAAATATCAGTGTTCTGGTCACACAGCATTGACTTCCTTAGACCAGAGACCAACCACGCAACCTGAAAATAGGAGAGGCACCCAGCTTGTTTTGAAACAGTAATCTTCCATCCTGTTAATGAATTATCTATACTTTCTATTTTGCCTGCTTCTATAAAGAATTTGGAGTGGTTTGCTGAGAACAAAGCCTGTAAATGAATATAATAAATGATACATTGTGGGGTAGAGTGGGGGGTAATAATCTATTCTAAAACTTGTGTTAACATAGATTTTTATTTGGTGGGATCTGAATCTTGGATTCTTTGGTGGACACAGAAGTAGAATGAAAGCTAAGCTAGGAAAGTTTAAAATGATAATGTAAGAAAATTGTTTGGCAAATTTTTTCTTCATAGACACCACAAAGATAAACACTATGGAAAATGAGTCCACATTCTACATTAGCAAGGTGGAATTAGAAAAGTTTTACGATAATAAACAAATTTGACACTAGTCTCTGTCTTTCTGCTCTGGACTTTATAAAAACGTCAGGCATTGCCATGGTATATAGAAGGTAACCTAAGGCAATGCTTACCTTTCTAGAAGCAGAAGTTTAGTTTTTAATGCATAAGGCTTTATCTAACATTCTTGGGCATTAAGGAGTTCTACATAAATATAATTACATCAAAACTGGTTCACCGGAATAAGAATACAAATTTTAAAAAGTGTCCCACTAGATATCTTTCTGAAAAACATCATGTGTTGCCTTATACAGGTATTGAACATAGTTTAATTTTTTTCTTCACGAACTACGGTGATCAATATATCAGACACTTGGCTTGAAGACAGACAGACCTGTGTTTGAAATTTTACCTTTTCTGGTGTTAACAAAATGAGAACTTTGACTCACGGAGCATCACGAAATAACGTATTAGGAAGTCTTTTGTGAACTACAGAGGAAACAAGAATGTTTGTGAAGTAGTACTTAGTTTATTTATGTGCAAAGGCGTTGTAGGTCCTGAAAAGATCAGAGGTTTTTAAAAATGTTGAGCCCTTAGAGCTTGTAAGGCTGTTATATCTGCTTTTTAAATGATAGATAAATGTTCATGTATTATCATGAATATTCTATTGCATGTTTTCAGTTTTTACCTCTAAATGTGTGCTTTAAATTAAATTCTCTGAATTACTAAAAATACTTTTAATGTATAGTATATCTTGATATAAAGGTTTTTATTTGAGAATGCAAAATTACAAGGTCAGCCAGTGAGAGGAGGAATATATGAATTTACAGTAACAATTTTATGTTTCCTATTATGATTCATCTATTGCCAAAATTAAGAAGAATCTGGATTAAAAAAATTCATTATTTTGTAATGGAATGAATACTACATACTACTTTGCTTATTTAAATGAAGAAAAATAAATGTTTCTTGGACTCTTAGATTCTTTTTTTAAAGTACATCTCCCCTAACATCAGTGAATACCTCAGTCTCAGGAGTTTTCGAACAGAGATTAATCAGAAGATCTAGACCATTGTTTAATGTGAAATGTGTTAAAAGTACGTGCCTTTATTCTCCTAAGGGCATAAAAAGATATTTAGACAAGGCATTTAGGACAGGAAGAATGTTTCCAGGGAGGAAGGCCATAATCTTTTTTTTTAGTTAAGCTTTTGGTAAAATGGCACATAAAAAAGACTTAGTTAGTTTGCACAGAGATTGTAAAACAGTTCAATGTCTACATCTTGTATTTGTAGAACTTCCATTTATATCACAAAAGCCCAATTTTTCTGTTTCTAATTATTTCTTGAATAAACCGTCAAAAATATTTAGGTTTATCAACCTAAAGAATGTTTGATCTCAGAGAGCATAGAGAATAAAATATTTTGTGAATAGGGGTATGGAATTCATTTTCTTATCAAATGTACAAACATTATGCCCAGAGTGTATCCTGACAAGTATATATTAGGCATTATAAGCAAGGTTTTAGGACCCTCTAGTCATTTGGAGAAAGACAATCCTTTTATTGTGCTGGCAAAATGCTTCTGGTTTCCTGTCATTAAACCTAAGTGCCAGTGAAAGTTTGAGCAGAGATTGCTTTATACAATACATGCTTTACGAGAATAATATATACCTGTAAGAGTAATTTTTATTACCTAAGAGGATGAAAAATTGTATGTTTCTTCATCATATGGGGCAATGTGCATAATTATCTCCTCCTGGTCAGATATAAATTTTTCTATCTGCTTTAAACACTCGGCATACTTCTTGCCTAGTGAGCCAATCCCACCATTTTTGTGAGAGGAAGGAAAAAAAAAACAAACCCAGAAGACCCCTACTAATTTCTTTTGAATTGAACGGTAGTTTCATGGAGAAGTTTCCATTTAATTTATATGATCTAATTGTGTTAAGTAGAACCAGACTATGGGGTTAAACATTTCCATATGTTTTAAAGGCCCAGAACTTTTCCTGAAAGGAGACATCATTCTGAACTTGGACTTTACCTGCTGCTTCCAGAAACAGCTGAAACTCCACCCAGATTGTGCCCCCTTCCCAGCTCTGTGTGCCACACGTAAGCACATGGAGGAGATGCCGTCCCCTGGCGCACCCGTCGCCTGGGAGGGCCATACCCCTGCCACACTCCTGGACCTCCAAAGGCTACCAGATTTTTCCCCCAGTCATTGACATTTGCCTTCCTCCTCTGTGTATGCAATGAAGAAGTAGGTAAATGTAGAGAGGGAAGGCAGAGTTGACCAAATTCTGGAAATCTGGTTCCTGGCTTACAGCCACCCTGAGCCCTAGTGTGATCTATAAATGCTTTACAACTCACCCCTTGTTGATATGACATTTTGGTGACTATAACCATCCCCTCTTCATTTTACGCTCCAGAAGCTTGTGAGACCTCAATGAGTCATGAAGAATCCTAATTTCAAATCCAAAAAATCCAAAGTGATGATAACAAAAACCAATAATTGATATCTGAACAAAGGTTAGTATTTGACAATGGATAAAGATTGGTATACCTTCCCTTCCTCGGGGCTTTGTTGACATGAATTGTGAACGTCGTCTTCTCTTACTAATTTTCCAGGCCAGGAAGTCAGTCCTTTGATTTGGCCCCAGACCAAGTCGCCCACATTGAACGTCCTTGGTCTATAATGTATCAATTCATTTGAAGAGGGGGAGTCTGGATTCCTTAGGTCATCTTCACTACTAATGCTTTTAGCATCTGAAGGGCTAGGCACACACCCGTTAATGCTTTTGGCATTAAAGTCTCCATTGTAATGGATGTAGTCTTTGACCAGAGAACTTTCCAAACTATTTGAGGAACTTGGAGACTGCTCCTCTAGGACCAGGTCTTGCTTTGCAGTGCTTAGCAGCTCTCCAAATCCCCGACTCTGTCGAGGTCTATTCCCATTAATATGTGCACATCTTTCCACAGTGTTCTCTAGTCTCTCTTTAAAACTCATCATAGTTCTTTTGTAGTTATTATACCTGAAATTTTCCTCTAGAATTTTATCCCCTGGACAGTTTCTTGGTGGTAACAGTATTGGGTGCTGCTCCCCAGGCAGAAATGGCAGTGTAGAGACATTGTTGGACCTTTCATGACAAGGACTACTGTGGATATGGCCTGGATGATCTAAAAATTCCTCGTATTTCCACCTGTTTCGCTCCCCTCTGGGGCTTTGCTCCCCGTCCCACTGTTTTTTGGATGTGTGGCAACTTGCTGACTTGAAATATTCAAACCCATCTCCTTCGTTCGCATTTTTCCCATGGTCTAGGTTCTTGGGCAGCCGAGCCCCTCTTGAATTCCTCAGCCTACCATCATGATCAACACCTCCCATGTTCCGTCCATGAATGACCGCACTGACAGCACTGGAGAGATTTAACGGGTCACCAATTGAGGCAGTGAAGGCACTCATGGCACTCAGAGCTGGAATGGGGCTGATCTGAGTTGTACTGTTGACTGCAGTGGTGATGACAACCTGCATTCCTTTGCTGGCTGCATCGACAACTGCTTTGTAAATGGCATCTACAGAAGCATCACCTGGGCCACCCACAACGAGGCCATCCTTCACCTGTTGACCAAGAGACGGGTCAATCCTTGGTTGCAACTCACAAGGTGTATCTTGAAAAGGTGGAAGTGTAGTGTTTGGATTCTCAGGAAGTGCTGTGAGCCCAGGCTGACTGCTTATTCTTTTGTTTAGGAGAGCTGCATCTTCCTGCATTCTCACCTTGAAGAAATAGACAGGAAGCAGTGAGAGAAAGAGAAATAATTTTGAAGGCCTCAAAGAGAAAGACTACAATTTTAAGATTTACCAAAAGACAAACAAATATAACAAGGAAGGAAATATAAAGAACAAGACTCAAGAAATGAAATAAAAAATCACTTTGTGTAGGAAAGCATATGTCTTGATTATATCTGCATGCCATTTCTTTGGTTAAAATTATTCAATGGATTTTTAAAATTATCATTGCAAAGCATTCTCTAGAAAAATTAAACTTGAGGTGGTTGGATACAAAATGTACTCAGGGTGGGATGACTCCATTGATTTTGTGGTCTTTGCAATTACAGGTCCTTGGAATTTAGAATGCAAAAAGAGAGTCAAGTCATAGGTAATCAAATCAGCAAAGGAAAAAGATTTTGAAATGGTTTCTAACTTACTGTTTCCACTTAACTAAGTGAAATATAAAATAAAATAAAACAAAACATATAAACTCCCTTCTTAACAATAACATGACACTAGTTTTCAGATGGGGTAGTAATACTTGCTCCTCAATCTTTTCAGGCCGCATCCCCATGCTATCAATAGTGGCAATGACTGTCTGCACAGGTGATTCTCAATTAGAAAGTGGTGAAGGGAGAGCATACTTACCAGGGGAGCATATCAGAATTTCAGAGGGTAGTTTGAAAAAGTGCCCAAGGTTATTCTAATTTTACCACCCACCCCCGCAACCTCCACACCATCTAAGAATGACTGCTCTAGACCCTCGATACTTTGGACTTTCAGATTTTTTTCCCCAATGATCTCTCCCTTTCTTCACATCCTTCCCTAATCCAGAACCTGCAATCTGTCAGCACATCAACCTCTCTCTTGCTATTATCACCCTGTCTACACCTACCAGGCAAAATCCCAATCTTGGATCAATTCAACTGCCCGCCCTATCTACATCTACAGTGAGGATGCTGAGTATTTGTCTAGAGCAATTTGTGGCTTCCAACCTCAGTTGAGGGCTTATTGCTGCCCATCAATCCTAGATCTTCTGGTTAATTATCACTCATTTTCCACAACTATTGAAATCTTCATCCACTTCTTCACCATCTCCCACTGTTCTTAGGTGACCTTACATAATAGAGAAAATAAAGCCCATCAGGCAAGAATTCTCGTAATTTCTTATACTGTGATACTCCCTGCCCCCCTGGCAGCAGACTTCTCTGGAATTATACCTGTCCTAAATTCTGTCCTGCTTCCCATAAGAGGGGTCCCTTCTGATCTCTGAGGGTGCACCCTCTATTTATGTTCTGAATCCCAAGCCCCCTCCTCAAGGATCCTGTCTTATTTATTATCCCTTCCCTTCTTTTTGTTCAATCTCTTCTACTTTTCTGGGTCTTCCTATAGCACATGATATGTTCATGGCTTACATATATTAAAGTTTGCATTCATCCTGTCCCCAAACCCCTGCTGGGGGCACTGCCCTATTTCTCTCATGTTCTTCAAAGTTGTTTTTTCCAAAGGTAAATTCTGTTGTGTGTATTTGAGGTTAAAACCACGATGTTATGGAAAACATATATAGATGGTAAATTGGTTACTACAGTGAAACAAATTAGCCTACCATCTCATACAATAGTGTGTGTGCATGTGTGAAGAACAGCTAAAATCTACTACTTTAATCTATACTCTTTAATTCCTAACATCCCATTCACTGTTCCTCCATATTGCCATCTGGCTCCTGCTCCCACCACTTCAGCAAAACTGCATTCCACTAAGTCACTGATGATGTCCTAATTGCTAAATCTAATGGATTCTCTTCAGGCTTTATCCTATCTTTTTTTTTTTAGTGACACGGTTGAGTGCTTCCTATTCCTTTCTAAATTATTTTACTATGGAAGATACACACACACACACACACACACACACACACACACACACACACACAAGTATAATCATTGTCAAAAAAGATACTAGTTTTCTTCATCATTACTTCTCACCCACACTCACATTTTCTCACCCTACTGCAGTCCTATTTCCTTTCTTAGAAGTAACCAGCACTGAAGCGCATCCTTCTTACCTTCCTTCCTCTTTCCCCTCCTTTTTTCTTTCAACCTAAATGGGATGGTACTAGATTCTGAATCCCACACCCCCTCCTCAAGGATCCTGCCTTATTTATTACACCTTGAACATAAAGATGTTCTACATTTCTGGGTCTTTCCTTTAGCATATGATTATGTTCATGGTTTCCAGATTGAAAAGTACTGTTCTACAATACTACAGAATTGGAGTCTTGCAGTCTTACAGATCTTCCATATCGGATTATATAAGTCTACTTAATTTTCTAAACCACTAGGTAGATGGATATACTGTACCATAATATATTTATTTCCCTACTGATGGAGACTTCAGTGGTTCATAACATTTTTGACACCATAAATTATATTGCACTGAACATTTTGATATGTGCTTGTTAGTTCACATTTGAAGATTTCTCTAAAATGAGATATTAATACATAAACGCTGAATTTTTGGTCAAAAGATTTAAAAATCTGATATTCTATCAAATTACCTTCCAAAGGACTGTATCAGCATATAATCAGACCAATAGTAATCTGAGAGAATCTATTTTTCTGCACCCTTGTCAGCAATGGATATCATCAATCTGATGGACACATTAGTGTCATAATTTATTTAACTCTGTTGTTATTTTCATATGCTTATTAATACTTTATCTTTCAATTTCTGTGAATTGTCTATTCATATCTATTGCTATTTTTTATAATCATTATCTTTTTTCTTCCTGATTTGTAGGAGTTTTTTTTTTTTTTACATAATTAGGTGTTAATTATTTAGTGTGTATTAGGAAGATATTTTCTGCCAGGTTGTCACTTGATTTTAGCTTTGTTTAGAATATCCTTGATTACACAGAGATTTTAAATTTTTATGTATTCAAATCTATTACTTTTCCTTTTGACTGTCTTGGTTTTCTGTCATGCTGAAAGAGCCTTCTTTACCCCAAGATTATTTCTTAAAAAAAATCAATATTTTCCTCCTATGTGGATTTAGTGTTGCTCTTTCCATCTATCTCCTTGATCTAGCAGGAATTTATTCACTTCGTGGAACTAAAGAAAGACCATGTGGCTGAAGCCAGGGAAAGAGTGGTGAGAGCTGAGGCTGAAGAGGGAGGACAGGTGGGCATGCGAAGGAGGTGAGTCTCAGTCACGAGAGCAATGAGGAATGACAAAAGGGTTTATGAAGGTCGCATGATCAGTTTTTACTAACAGCTCTAAAAGAACTGCTGAGATGCTTCAGACAAAACAAAAAAAGAAAACCTTCACACGAAAGACTGGAATGTTTAACAATACTCATGATTGAGAGATAATAGTAGATAGAGGAAAGGGCACATAACCTACTTTTCTTGCCCCTTCCCCCACATGAAGTGTTTAAACAAACCCAGACATTGTTTTCTTCGAAAGTGATGCAGGGGAGGAGAGTACCTGAAAGTTCTGAAACAGACAAGCCATGGGGTTATTGTTAGCTGGGCAAGGAATTGTGGACTGTCCTTGGAACGCCTGGAGATTCTGGTACCCCTGGAGAAGTTGCTGCTGTTGCTGATTTGGAGGAAACATCTGATTGTTGTTTAACAGCGACTGTAGATGAGTCAGTTGATGGTTATTCAAAGTATTGTTTATTGATGACATATCACCTACAGTTTGAAAAACATAAAATATAAGTAAATGTGATTCTTCAGAGATTCTATGCCTCTCTTTGTACCTGATAATTCCTGAAACAAAAACTAAGTGCTATGCTTACTTGGGTAATGCTTTTCTTTCTTTCTTCTGAAAGACTTACTGAGTGGTAAGGAAAGAGTAGCTTTATTATTTAGTTTTATCTTGTATAATTAGTTTTTAAATTTTATAACCTGGAATGACTACTTAGTCTTTGCTGTATTCATTAAGCAGTCCTTACATATTGAGCTTCTGTGTCATATGATTCCTTGAGCCATTTTTAGATTTTAGATCTATTTTAGAGCACCTAAAATTAAAGGTTGAAATTAGTCCTACAATGTTTTAGCAATCGTATCTGACCACATAATTAAAATGAGTGAGCCTGATCAGGCCTTGTTTACAAAACTTAGCTCTCAAACCATAATTATATTCCACATCAAATCATTGATTTGGCTTAGAAATGTGCATTTTGTTTTGCAGTAGAAGGTTGGTTACCTGAAATTAAAATTGGAAAGAAAACTAACAATAGAAAAGAATTCATTGTCATAATCATTTAAAATAAATATTATATAATCAGTAAGATTAATAACTAAATTTATATTCAAAATTTGAAATTCTTTTGAATTTACTCTGACATTTTCTTGAGGACAATGTCATAGAAATTGTCCTGTAATTTGAAATATGTAAATCTGTAATGCTTTCTAGGTTACTTAACTACAAAGATTTCAATGTCAAATAGAACTAATTATGCTATATTATAAAGGTATCCATAAAATCAAAAAACATAATAAACAAATTATTTTTACACATTGAAGATGCCATTGACATCATCATGCACATTTGGCTGTTTCCAGATGTTATGGACACCATCCCTACACTTTATGTTATAATTACATACATTCATCGGTTAAATATACTTGGCATTATTTTCTAACTATTTTGTGGTAGGATAATACAGATGAAACACTTTGTTTTTAAGCCACAAAGGCCAAAAAATAATACTGACTGAGGAAATCTAGTAGAAGCTAGAGGGGCTGCCTGTTCCCTTGAACTTGGGCAAGCTTTAGCTTTGCATGTTTTTACATCTTGCTTCCTGTTTTGCTAGACAAGCATTTAGTTTTTATTTATTTAGGGTTCACTTGGAAAACACTTTCTCAATCTGTTTCCATCCACAGTGCAGCTGCTCATACTAACCCTGTGATGCCACACCAACTAAAATTCAAATAAAAGTTACTTTAAAGATGTACCTGTGCTTTATTATTTGAAAAATAAGACTACTTGGTTTAAGAGTTGATGGGTAGGTTAGGTTTAAGTGGCATCAGAATTAGAAGAGAAAGCAGATTAAAATGATATTTAGTTTTGCTAGAATAGGGGAAAAAGGAAAAAGTCACTCATGTTTGTATAACTATGGTGTGTGTGGGTGTTGTTATATTTAGTTCCTTAAGCAAGCTGTGACATAACAAAAACATTTTTAAAAATAGTGTGACAAAATGGAGTTTTTAAAAAGGAGAAAATAGAATTAGAAAAACGTTTCTTTTGTAAAAAATTTGTGAAAAAATTTAACTTACCAAGTAGACCTGTCCCCAGTAGAGGGTTAAGTAGCTGTGGCACCACAGAGTTACTGTTGAGTTTAGCTGGACCAGGTGTATTCCCAGCATTATTAGATATATTCAGCAATGTTTCTGCCATTGACACCACTGCTGTCCCACCAAGTGTTGAGACAGTCAGTGCTGCCACTGCTGATGATGTAGTGGTTGTGGTAGTGGTTGCCTGGGAGGAGATTGCTATGGAAACCTCTGGATGATTAGCGGTGTTGGCCGATGCCGAGTTCAGGACACCTCCCAACAGCTGGGGATTCAAGGTCATTAATCCTGAGGCCCCAGTGACAGCTGGGAGGAACAGGGGGTTAAAAGTAGTGTCACTGCCTGCAAAGCTTGGTAAAGGGTTCCCCAGGGGGCTGGTTAAAAGGGTCTCAGCTCGGCTGTTGTCTGACTGATTGCTTGGCAAATGGTCTGGTGGGGCTGTCATCTGTGTTAATGAGGGTAAAGGGGTATTTTGCTGTTGCAAAAGATCTGAGATGGTCAGATTGAAAGATGGCAGGGGAAGCATGGCAGCTGCTTGGGCTTGGTTCTGAAGCAGGGCTGCTAAGAGCTGAAAGTGAACAGGCTGCAATACCTGCCCATCCATGTCACTGGAGAGAAAAGCTAAAGCAGCGTTTACATTCGGGTTGAGAAAACCTAAAGGGTGGAGGTTGATCTCAGACTTGCCTTCTCCTGCTGAAGGCTGGAGGATATTTAATAGATTCTGGTTTAGGAGATGCTGTTGATTCACTGGCAAAGAGATAGGTAGAGAACTGAGGAGGCTGGGGTTCAAGGGGTGTGGAAGATGGTTGTTTGAAGTGCTGTTGGATGGAAAATGAAGTGCGTGCTCCTGGCCAACAAAAGGAAAATCACTCCCAATGGGCAGCTGACTCTGCAGTGGGTTTCCAGCTGCGGTGGTGACTATGACGCCATCTTGAAGAACAGACGTTGTTTTTGTGATGGCAGGGTGGTTGGTGCCCGCTATGGCTATGGAGGATGATGGTCCTGAACCGCCTAAAATGACAAAAAACAAAAACAAAAATCAGTTATTAAGCATGGATATTACATGAGACTAGGAATAAAAATGCATTAACATAAATTTCAACTTATTTGTTACATGTCACCTTCATTGATTCTAACTAGATGAATTGTAAACAGATCAATTGACACCTGCTAATGGGACTTAAGTTTAGAATGTATACTTTTGGAAATAAATATATTGAAGACATTTTATTAAGAAATAGCTGGTGGGTTGTGGTAGCAGGAGAGGTGAGGGGCTAAAAAAAAGGAAATAGGTATTGCTGACTATCAAATAGTTATCCTAGAATAGGATAGAACACTATCAAAGAATCAGTGTTCTTCATTCAATTGGGTAGATAAAAGTGACAGTTCTATTTAAAAATTTATTTTCATTAAAAAAGTTATTTGTCTTTATTTACACAACTACTACATCCCTTTAGTGAAAAGAAACCCTCAAAAGTAGAATGTACATAAAAATATAAAGCGGAAGATAAAAAGTACCTGTGAAGATAACAATATTTTAGTTTTTAGCTTTCTCTCTGCCTGTCTATACATATACAGGCATGCACATATGTACATATATGTATGCAATATATGCATGTTACACATATTTTTTAAAAAATAGAATCATGCTATAATGTTATGTTGTAGCTTTTTAAAGTTATCAATGTATTGTGATTATCACTTCATGTTAACTTATATGGCTACAGAACCATTTTATTAGTATCATATATTGATATACTGTACTTTAATCAACCTACAGACATGAATTTTTTTATTTCCAGTCTCTTACTACTGTAAGCAAAACTATGACACATATTCTTATTAATATTTCTTTGCCAGTTTGCCTAATTATTTTCTATGGATAAATTTTTAAAAGTGAAATTCCAGGGACTAAAGGGCTTACATATTTTAGAAGCTTTGCATACATATTGTCAAACTACCCTCCTGTGAAGTTAATCAATACACACTCAATTTACATTCCTATAAGCAGTGGAGGACAGTGCTTATTTCTCTCACCAACACTCTATTTATCATTATTTTGGACAATGAACGAAAGTAATAATTAAGAATCTTTACCATTCCGATTGCATAAGACACTTTGTACTTATGATTTCTTAAATTAGACCAGTCTTAAATAGTATTCTTATTCTTAAAAGTCTTAGACTAAAGATAAAAATTCTGGGAGTTTAATATTTTAAAAGATAAAATTTCACTTATTTATAACTGTTTTTGTGATGCTCAACCCAAGCTGCACAACAGAATTATGTGGATTAATTAAAAACAAAACAAAAAAACAAAACAAAACAAAACCAAAAACCAATACCTGGGCCCTAACCCAGACCCGTTGAAAACTCATCTCTCGGGGTGCAGCCTGGACAGTAGTATTCTTTGAAATCACCCCTGGTGATCCAGATGCACAAGGGGTGAGGTAGATAGGGTGAAAACCACATCTATTGAAAAGGAACCTATAATCACTTTTTTGGAAATGGTCTTTCCCCATCGTAAATGCACTGTTTTATGTAACACATGCATTTGAACAAATATTTTATTATTTTAAGAATATACAGTTAATTTTATTTAAAAATACTAAACACATATATGGCATAATGAATAACACCAGTGTCACCAAAAAATCTAAAATAACTCAAGCATTTTGGGCTACACCATCCTAAAAACCTTTACATTTATCATGTTACCATTAAAGCTTCATCCAAATATGCAGAAATGTTTCCATAGTTGTACCAGTAGTATGAATATAATTTTATATTCTTCTTGTTTTCACCTAATAGAATAACACAAGAATTTTTCCTTTCTGATAAATAGACTTTGTATTTATGGTTTTAACTGTGTAGTGTATATATTTACTATATTTATTGAATCACTCTGATAAAGTCTGGCATTCATATTTTAACTTTTCATCATTATAAATAATACAGGGATAAATGTCTTTCTACATGTGATACTTTGATACCTTTGAACTTTTTCTTTAGAAGAAATTTCATAATTGACATGATCATTTTGAGAATAGAAAAAAAGGCAAGCAAAAGTTCTGCAATCTGTAAAAGTCTATAAAAATAAAAGGCGCTGTCATCGTTACTGACATTAGTGGTCACAGTAGTGGTGCTGTGGTAATAGTAGCAAGTACAAACCTGCACATCCAACACACTTTACAAATATCCCTACAGAAAGGATTGGTCGTTTTTCCCATCATGGTCTGCCTTTTTTTTTTTTTTTTAAGTTTTTTTTTTTTTTTTTTTTTTTTTTTTTTGTTTTCTTTTTTTTTTTTAAAAAATGAGATTTTTAAAACCCCTTTGAAAATACACAAATATTTATGAAATATTATGAAATAATGACTATGTTCACCAAGAGTAGTGTAAGAAAATGTACCAAATGCTGAAGTAGTTACATAGCATACAATTCTTTAAGTACTAATTCAGATTTGTTACAAAATAATCAAAACCTTAAACATTTAATTGCTTCTTAAATCTTGCTGCTATTTCCATAGATGCTATGCATTATTTCCATTTGGACACCACCTTTCTAAAACTTTTTTTTCCCCCACAACATAATGGAAGCACTGTGGTTTGTACTTTTTAAATTTTTTTAAAAAATTTTATTAAACCTTTACAAACATCATTAAGAGTTTTATTAAAAAGTCTTATTTACTGGTAATCACTACTTTTGGCACTGTGGCAACTTTTCCAATCTGCTAAATAATAATGACATATTTAGATGTAGAGATCACAATTTCTCTAAACAAATATAGAACACATTTTCAAAATGCTCTAGAGTGTACATGGCAAGGCTCTGTAGATGAAGGTTTTCCTTAGAGATTATTTCCATGTTTTATCTTTATTTTGCAACAGAGAAGTATCCACATCTATGATTCAAGGAAGCAACCATTTTGGGATAACCTAAAAGCTCTCTATCTAAATATTCTTGAAGAATTAGAAAGAACGAAGTATAGATACTCTGGGTGTATTTCTGTCTTACCAACAAGAAAGTGGTGAATAACACAAGCTTCTTAAATGTAGTATGAAGATGAAGGTGTAGTTTTTAAAATTTTTCTTTCATTTTCAACAAATCAATTCAACAAACAGGTGTACTCTGTTGGACAGCAGAATATAAATGGCTGTGAAAAAAAAAAGAAAACCCCTACTCTTTCCTGAAGGAACTAATAGTTTAGGCAAAGAAATAAACATAGAAATCTCCCTGTCTTTTCCTTCTCTCAAATATATATTTATTCAGAGTTTATTATGAACTAGAATAATGTAAAGCTCTTTTCTTATATTGCTAGTATAATTATAATGCAATATGCTAAGAGATATAACAGGTACAAAACAAGAGACCATTATAAAACTGAACATGTCAGGGAAAACTAGTCCAGTGGTATAACACTGATCTGCAATTTCAGATATGAAAACAAAATTAAAAGGGCCTCTATGCAGAAGCAAGATAATTAAAAAAAAAACAAAAACAAAAAACAAAGACAAGGTGATAATAAAGTAGATGGAAGGTAATGAAGAGTCCTGTGTTTCTCCGAAACAAACTAATGTGATTGAAAATATTGTGAGGTTTCCCTATGCTTCCATCTCCTCCTATCCATGGTTAAACCTGCTGCCTTACATAAGCAGTGAAGAAATTTGAAATCATCTTTCTAAACCATTAAATACAAAAATCATTTATTTATCTCTGTATTTCCAAGACCTAACACAGTCTTTGACACATGGTTGGCATTCAAAAAATATTTGTTGGTTGAATGAATCTATTAAAAAGACTGTAAAATCATAAAACTTGCACTCAACTTTTAGAAGTCGGTAGTTTGACGCTATGTATGGGTATGCTTGTGGACAAAAGGTAAGAATACCACCCGTTTGTGGAGAAAGTGAAAATGAACTCTCCAGATTATTAGTCCAATGCCAAGAGATACGGGACATTGGAAAAGAGATGGCTTCAAGATGACAAATTACCTTAAAAGGCTTCCAGATATTTCAAGAAGTTGAAATAACCCCACAGAGAGAGAGGTCTATCCCAAATTACTCTGAGTTCTTAAAGTTACTCATTCATGCTGTCATTCAAAAGAGGACCCTGAATTTGTATGAAATTTTATAGATGGAGAGAAATTTGGAAATTGCTTATTTCTGAACTACTTAATCTTTGATAGGTACTCTCTCTGGTGAACGTATTTCATAGTTCTGCACAGAAACCCTATGGTCTGTTGAACTGTGGGGAAAAATGTTTTGTTAAAACTGTTTTTTTGTTTTGTTTTCGCAGCCAAGGTATTTTGTGCTTAATCGAACAAAAAGGACAGTGTCTGCGAGTTTTAAAAAGCAAATTATTCATTACATATTTAGCAGTTAAATAACCAAAAGGCAGCTGGGAGCCTGGAACAAGTTAGTAAGTTGGAGAAGTCCTTTACTTGGAAAAAATGATTATTTCACACCAGCCAGCAGCACCATGAACTGGCATAATTCCTTTTTCTCATTGTCTCTGTTGCTTTTCCAGAGTAGGAGAGAAGACTGGAAAGCCACCCAAACAAACTTTGGTGTGAAATCTCATGCTTAGACACCAGAGATTAAGACAGTCTAGTCCAATGAGGAAATGACAGAGGTAGCCTGCTCAGTAGGACAGATTTCTGCATGTAAACAGTATTCTGCACACACTTATAATTCATGATATATGTATATGCATATGTGTGTGTACACAGATATAGCATGCCTAAATTTTAAAAGTTATTTTCCTAACATTAATTTAATCCTTGACATGTTTCATCTCATTTTTAAAACTACTTTTCAAAACAAAGTTAATGTCTACCTCTTTTGATTCATTTCTGTTTTTCCTGGTCATTGTTTGTATTGTGCTAAACGCTTACATGGCTGTCTCTTAAATATTAGTAACATGATTACACGTCTTGGTATGTGTACAAGATAGGGCATAAAACTCACATCAAGAAGAAGAATGAAGTGTTTTTAAATGTCATTATACCAGTT